TACTATTTATTATTATTATTATTATTATTATTATTATTATTATTTATTATTATTATTATTATTATTATTATTATTATTATTATTATTTTTTTCTAGTAATATTACATTATTTCACAGTCCAATTATATATTTATTTATATATGGCAGACAGGTTATTAACTACACTGAAAAGAACATGAATGAAAGTAATGATTAAATAAGACTGATACCAGCGTGCAGCTGGCCTCTTGTTAATCCATTTGAAAAGTGGAGATGAAACGGCAAAATTCAAGAGTTTATACAATACATTATGCGAATCAATCGTTCAAAAATTACTGAGTACAAATTTTTATGATAAATGGTTAAATTTCAATAGTTTATGGTCGAATTAGATAATTTTCTACGATGTCTCAATTCGGTTTCTGTCACAGAGTACAAAGCGCATGGTAGGCTAAATGAATTTAAACAATTCTACAGAGAAGGATGGTTACATTGACAAACTATTACTTATATAATATTCCAGTCCAGTGAGGAGGTTGCTCTTAATAAGGATAATATATATTAAAAGTTTAACATTATGCTCTTTATTTATCTAATAATGAACAATAATGATTAAGTTTACTTTCAACGGCTGGTCGACCTTAGAGAGGCACAGAGACATAGTGTATATGTTTTTATAGAAAAAACAAAATTGGCAATAACAATAAAAACATAACCTGTCTTTATGAAGTAATCAAAATATACCATAAGCATCCAAAGCTCGTATTTCTGAACATCCTGTCGATCTTGAAATTTCTGACGAGTGGGAAAAACATCCGTTACATCTTATCTGTTTTTTAAGTAGTCTCCATGCAAACAGCCACAGTAGCAGCAGCAGCAGCAGCAGCAGCAGTAGTAGTAGTAGTAGTAGTAGTAGTAGTAGTATGCCATGGACTGGATTTATACTCTGTTGCTCTTTTATTTTTTCTCTATTTGCACCAACAACTCTACTCTAAATTTATTTATTCCTAATTAATTTCAACTCTTCTACAAGCAAACTGGATTTCAAAAGTAAATGCGCTTTTTTGGGATAGCAACCTAATTATTCGTGAAATTTTGGTTAACAGAGCAACAGGATGTCCAGTTGAAGAAGGTCTCCATTATAGATGGTATAATAATATTAAAATTTTCAAACTTTATCGTTCCCTTAAAGGCTGTATTTTGGACTTATTCACCTATATCGAAGTCTGAGCTCTTTTGGATAATGTTTTGCCATAGATCCCACACAATTAAGTCGTTCCTACTAAAGCTGTAGAAATGATGGACACTGTGACATGTGGGAAACCAGTACTCTCTACTTGTGGGACACCAATACTCTATTTATCATAAAGAGGTTTTAGTTGTAGAGATGAAAAAAATTGTCTTAAGGGAATGATTGTGCGAAGAAAACCTTTCTGACGGAATCATCTCATTAAAGCGAGGCTAACAGAACAAAAATTATGTATAAAAAAACAAAGCCTCCTAATTTCCAGTGACCTGACCTTGATATTCACCTCAGAGCTCATAATATATTCCATGAAGGAACTGCCTAGTTATGAAGTTTACAGAACTTACTTTGGAAAAAAACAGTCAAAGTACAGAGGACCTAGAGATATGGAGGATTAGGCCCTGAGACTCGGGAAGAGAGTTCCAGAGTCTGGAGGAAGATAGGAAGAAGCAGTCGCTGCATCGACCAATCCGCGAATAACAAATCTTCACGCAGTACCTGTGAGATGAGGCCGCTTGGCGAGTGTTACGCGGCCTCGGCAGTGGGGGAAAGATGCAACTCTCCAACTCATCAGAGCAGCGATGGAAGTAGTAGCGATAGAAAAGAGAAAGAGAATCCAGATTAGAAGTAAGAGAAGGATCATTAATGAGTCTGAATGCCTTAGATTTAACATATCAAGGAGATAAGAATAAGAAGAAACACACCAGATGTGTAAGCAGTATTCTAAGCAGGGACGGATAAGACCTTTATAAATTATAAGTAACCGTATAGAGGAAAAGTAATGATGAAAACGAAACAGAATCCCCAATATTTTGGATGAAGATTTAGAAATTTGAATTATGTAATTCCTCCAAGACAAGTTATAGGCTATGTGGATTCCTAATATGCTGACAGAATTAAGAGGGTAAATTTCTCTTTACTTTTGAAGACAATAGGGTTATCAGGAGGAGAAGAAGATACTGAGATAGCCAGAAACTGTGTGTTCGAGGCACTGAATTTAACCAAATCAGATACCCTCTGCAAATCGGATTGAGAGTGGAAGAAAGTGTGGTACGAGACTGTTTACAAGTTGCAGATGAAAGTTGTGAAGAAAAGGCAGAGGAAAAGTGAAGGGTAGAATCATCACTAAAGGCGAAGAAGAGAGAAAGATTGGGATTGTAGAAGATCATTGATGAAGAGAAGGAACAGAGTAGGTAAAAGAACAGAGCCCTGAGGAACCCCACTGGTAACAGAGAAAGGGCTAAATGTCGCACCATCAACAACTACAGATGTAAAACGGTCAGAAAGAAAACTGGAAATCAGAGAACAGAAAGAAGGGGTAAAGCCATAGGCAGAGAGTTTGTCCAACAGAGCT